ACTGAACTCCCTTCTGCTCGCAAAGGTGCCCCCTGATGTCGTGGATCGGGTCATGTGCTTCTACGACACGGCCTGAGCCGGGAATGACATCGCGCTTGCTGGTCAAATGCCGGCAGAAAGGCGAGTGAAAAACATACAGCTGGGCAACACTGGATACATAATACATATAAAGGGGGTCCTGGAGCTTGTCCCTTCCGTAACAATTTGACATTGTGGTGCAAGTGTAGGGTGTGGTGATACGGTGCTCTTGCACAGTTGTTGTTAGACGGCTGGAAGCATCGCTGATTGGCGGCCTGGCCCAAGTGAGAACGGAAGATCATTGGTGGATAGACACGGTTTACTTGCCGTACCTCGAGACTGCTGTTTCCACCGATGGCAAACCGGCAAACCTTGCTTTGTCTGCAGGATTGGGTGCTTATCTTGCGGCGCTGCACTATCATCCACTTTGGCTATCGGAAGGAGAGACGGGTGGCATTGCAGTGAGGAAGGCGGGGCTGCGATCCCTTCGCGAATGCATTGTAGAAGCTTACATTCAAGGGGCTGAAGCAGCTGGCTGGCCACAGAACTATTACCTCCGCAAGGATGTGTACCAGTGGACCTTGTGTGCGCACTGTTTGCCCCTTCCTGAAATGGCTTACAGCCAGCTCATGCATGCCTTCGTCCTGCGCTTGAGGGCTGGTCCGCCAACTTGGCAAGCAATTGCCGACTGCCGCTGAGCAAACGATGGGTGTTGACCAATGTACCTGCGTCTGGTGCAATGTAACTAGAACCGGGTAGGCTCAAAAGGGCACGGCAGCTCATGGCGGGCTCGCATGTACAAAACACACCAGGTCCGGACCACTTTTGGAAGTTGAGATGATGAAAAAGTGCCCGCCGTTGTGGCGCGAAGCACATTTCCAAGTCAAAACGCGCAGAGCACACGAGGTTCGGAGCACGATGTCGAAAAAGTGCACGCCGTTGTGGCGGGAAGCACAATTCCAATTCAAAATATTAAAAGCACCACATGCTCGGACCACTTTTGAAGGTTTTGCATGACAGGCGCAGGGGATTCTGCACCTTGGCAGAAGTGAGCAAAACGTGAGGGTTTTGTAGCATTTCCAAATACGATGGCAAGCGTGGGACATTTGAAGAGGATTTGGAAAGATGCAGTTCACGTGGCAGGCGCAATACAAAAGACATGTTCATCAGAGATGTTAGGAGGTCGCGGCGCCGATTTCCTGAGAGGGGTTGCATTTTGGAGCATCAGATCTTCAGGTTTTCTAAGATGATTTTGCCTGACAGGCGCAGCACTTCGTATGACCTGGCATCGCTTTTTCGTGGCAGGCGCAGCACTTTGGACAGATGGAGCGGAAAAATCGCAAAACGCATTGGTACGAGGCCGTCAGCTCTGCACTCAACTTTCCATTTTTAAAGGAAGTCTCGCAGAACTGCTTCGTTTTTGATGTTGTCAACTTGAAAAATTGAGGAAGTCTCGCAGAATAGTACCGCACAAGGCGGTGGCGGAAGTTTCAAGGATAGGACATGATGGGAGAGGTGAGTTGTTGTGATGCATGGATGGCAGAGCGAATGCACTGATGGACCGAAAGGTGGTTGGAGTTGTGTTTTTTGGAGTGGCTGCAATGGTTGCAGTGGTCACCTCACCCACAACTGCTGGATCTAGTATGGTGTAGTGCAGCTGTAGTTGTAGTTGTAGTGTAGTGGAGTGGTAGTTGTAGTGTAGTGTAATTAGTGTGGCGCAGTTGCGTTTGTAGTTGTGGTGTGGTGTAATGGGTGTAGTGTAATGTAATGTAGTGTAGTGTAGTGTAGTGTGCTGTAGTGTTGCGTGCTGTAGCGTAGTCTAGTCTAGTTTAGTCTAGTGTGGTGTGGTGTAGTGGAGTGTGGTGTAGTGGAGTGTAGTGTAGTGTAATGTAGTGTAGTTAAAGTTGTAGTTGCCGTTGTTGTCGTAATTTTAGTTGTATTTTTAGTGTAGTGCAGTGCAGTGTAATGTAACGTAATGTAATTAGTGTAGTGTAGTGTAGTTGTAGATGTAGTTGTTGTGCAATTAGTGCAGTGTAGTGTAGTGTTATGTAGTGTAGTTGTAGTTGTAGTTGTAGTTGTAGTTTTAGTTAGTGTAGTGGAGTGGAGTGCAGTGTAGTGTAGTGTAGTGTAATGTAATTAGTATAGTGTGGTTGTAGTTGTTGTTGTAGTTGTAGTTGTAGTTGTAGTTGTAGTGGAGTGTAGTGTAGTGTAGTGTAGTGGTGGTTGTAGCCGAAACCGCTACAAAACTCAAAACCCTCACATTTTTCTCACTTTTTGACAAGGTGAGCTTTTTCGCTTCCAAATGTGCTTCGCGCCATAACGGCGTGCAACTTTTCATCTCTCATCTGGCCAGATGGCTCCGCACCCGCCGCTTTAGCGAGCCTACTTTTGGACCCTCCGGAGCGACAAATCATTGGAAAAACAGAGTGTTTCGCGACTTTGCTACTTTTTCGCGCACCTGCAGCTTCTTTCTTCTGACTTTATCTCTTCCCTGACCCTCTTTCTTCTTTTCTTCTCTTGTCTGACTCTTCCCACCTCTGCTTTTCATTTGTCCATATTGTCAGAAGTTTGACTTCAAAACTTCCTTCGATCATTGTTGTGCATTCTATCCGCAAGCTTTTCTGCAGGCAGTGTTTATAAATCAATAAGAGGAAGAGATTTTAGGAATCCCCAAATAGGTCGAACATTGTTTCCATGATGCAGATCCTGTTTCGTTTTTTTACTCCATAGCTTCAGGTTCTAAAGGGTACAGATGGTTGTTTAGTTTTGTATGGTTCTGTGACTTTGGGTGAACAGATGGGTGCCCTGGTGAAATTTTCCATCAAGAAGTACCATTGACATGTTCGTCAACGTATGTTTTTTCTAGCATATTGGCAGCTCAGTATTTTTTCAGACATTCCTCAAATTTTGTATTGACGAGAACATGCCCGCGATTTGTTTGCACCTGATGGGGTGGTTGAGACTGACCCATTGTCAGTTGTGTATGTTTCAAACGACTCAGGGACCCACAGGTTCTGGTCATTATTTAGAGGCCATTTTTCGGCGCAGACAATTTCTCGATGTCCTTTTGGGTGTGTGTGAAGGTAATTACCTCAAAATCTCATTGTTTATCATCATTTTCCCCATTGAATTGACCATAAGTTGGCGATAATTTGTAGATTTTTTTTCCACCAATACCCCATTTCCATTACTCATTGGGTGAATCCCCACTTTATTTGGTAATTAACTCCTTAATGTGGCCGCTTCAAGATCACGTATTTTCGGATGGACATGTGCCCAGTTGAACTTTGCAAAGCTCGTAAGTGTCTCCAGGGGACGTCGACATCGTGGACTTTAGTCGTGATGGTTCTCTCTGGGTCCACGGGTCCAGGACAGCAAAAATTTGTATTTCACCAGCATGGAATTGGGATAATTGGGATAGAAATGGCCAGAACCATTGTCAGCTCTGGTGTATGTTTTCATTTTCTTGAACATAGGCCCATCACCTGGGATGATTTTGTAATAGAATGGGCTAACGCCCTGGTGCCGCCGACCCCTTTTTCTGCAGCCCATGTGGGCAAGATGCAGATTCTCGACCCAGCTTGTACCAATATACCCATATATATATGTATGGAATACATACATACATACATGCATGCATGCATACATACATACATACATACATACATACACACACACATATATATATATAATTATATATGCATATGCTGAATGCAATGAATATTTGCCTACATTTGGGCTGTTGTGCCTGTAAATATAGATAAATCTTCCATACACGGTGCATCTGGGATATAGATAACCTTAAAAAGATCGATGGGTAAGCTTCAAAAAATAGAGAACTATAGAAACTCCTATATACTCAACTGGTGTTATGTTTTAGCAGTTTTATCTTTTTGGGGCTTACCAGTAAGTACAGTAGAAGATCCAACTGGTGGGAAATGTCCACCAAAAGACCCGTACATTCATCCCTGGGGTATATATACATGGTAATGCATGGTGGTCCAAGAATTACATATACAACAGCTTTGAGTTTAACACATGGCATTTAAATAGCAGGAAATTAATCATAAAATTGGCTGGCAGGCTATTACCAAAAAGTCTGTGATATTTTTTTGCTGGTGTGGATGTTCCGATGGAAATCAAGATGTTCGGTCCAAAGTCCGCAGTAAAACAATTTGCTTGAGTTTCTTTCATTCCCCAGTCTAGCTTCAGAAAAGCCATCCCTGCAGTTTGGTCTAGGCGGACCTCATGTAGAGGTGCAGATCATCTCAGATCCGTCTGAATCGGGTGGGAATGCGTACCGCTAGGCCGCGAGTTGTCTCCGATCCCAGTCCACGCCAGATCATGCCAGTCTTCTCCGGTACAATCCGGGTGGGCCCGTTATGGCCCGTTCAAACCTGTGAGAGGTTCATCGCAGTACTTGTCTGCGACGAAAGGCAATGGCATCATGCCATCACCATCCTGCATATGTACGTTGCAAGTTTAGCTTCCCAGGCGACTCAATGGGATCACTTCGCACAGAAGATCCAGGAAGAAATGACATCTTAATCTCAATTTAATCGCAATGTGCCCCAATTTAGGTGACTCATATCAAATCGTGATGAATGTGTCACTATACCAAAAACTATTAAAAACATGAACCAGTTTCGAAACTCTGTAGGTGCACTTTTTGGGGCCTTGCTTCCAACAGTGGAGCCACGGCAACAGGACCTGAAGCTGCCAGGAGGGGTTTTAGTCATTTAAGCTTCAAGCTGCAGGGACAGGCTGTGGGGAAGGATTGGTACGGACATGTATGGTTGCACACCTGCGGTGATCCCGGGCGCCGCCCCGCCTAGGCCAAGGCTAGGCAGGGGTCGGCGGATTAGTTCTATTCATGGATTGAAAACACCCAGCATATCATGCAGACTACAGAGTTCCAGGATGTTCCCTACGGCCTGAGATAAACTTAAGTGGCACTCATCGAGGGTACAGCCCTCCTACCA